TCAGACGTGTGCTCTTCCGATCTCCCCAAAACCCCAAAACCCCAAAACCCCACTAAGCACGATTAATGAATATATAGTAGTAATTGGAAATCAAATATGAGAGAACTATATGAATTAAGTTATTACTAGATTCTCTCCCTTACTAAGGAGGCTGACTTAATAAATATATTGATACTATAGATTAATAAAGACTATTATTGAGTTATTTGTTTGGAAATTAAAGACTTCCTCAAAAATGAATAAAGTCTTGATGGTTTGAGACCGTAAAGCTCTCTCATTGCTTCTTCTTGTCGAGGAGATTCTTTGGTTGCTCTTCTTTACCTTCTTTCTTTCCTTTAATCTCGAGTTCTGGTTTCTCTTGATAGAGTTCCATGAGCTTGGTAAGATCGAACTTTGGTTTCTTAAGGAGCTTGACCTTTCTAACGAGGACGTTTTAGAGGGGGAAGATCTTTCCACATTGCTTTTGGATTTCCTTTCCAATAGTGTCGGAAACACTAAAAGATATAATTAATAAATAAGAAAAGAGAATACAATTTCTTGGTAAGCTCTTTAAGAGTTGATTTCTGAGCCTCATTAATCATGATTTCCATCATCTTCTTGCGGATAAGCTTTCTCTGAGAGCCCTTTGCGTAGCAGGTAGCTCTGACTTGCTTTTTGGTTCTTTGGGTGAAGCCAATGGCGAACATTCTGAGGAGATATCCATCGGCGGTCTTGGTTTGGACGAAGGCCTCAACTGTGGTGTGCCATTTCTTCACAATGGTGCACAACTTGTCTCTTGTGATGTCCATTCCGTAGAAGTTGGTGTAGCAGTCAAATCCCTTAACTTCTTCGATTTGCACCTTCATTTTTCTCCAGGCTTGATCATTGCTATCTCTGTTCAAATCAGCCAAAGATACTTCGAACACACGACCTTTCAAACTGTCAGCGGAAATCTCTATTGGAAAAATCAATAAAAGGGATGGTTTAAAACTTACTTTGACCGGCGGTTCTGTTGCAGGGAGTGATGGTTGGAACTCTAACATCAAAGACGGTGGGTACGTGGACGTTGTACCATTCTTTCTTGGCGAAGGAGTGAACGCTAAAAAAATCATAAGCAAGACTGAGAATCATGATGTGCTACTTACACCTTCTTCTTTTGGCCCTTCTTTTTGAAGTTTCTTGGATTCTTTCCAGCAGTCATTGCAAGTTAATCAAATTTTTTGGCTCAAACACAAAAGGTTTCCCTTATTAATAATAAACTTAATAATTAGATTCCATATATAATATAGTTCATTCTTCATCTCCACTAACTTTATTAAATATACTTTAATATAATTTAAAATATCAGAATAATGTCTTCAAACAACTAAAACAAAAAGAACAAGAAAGGTCAGCAGCAATAGAAGCAAACTAGCCAAGATGATTAATCTCTCGAGTTTGACCGTAAGACTTCAAATATTTAGTCAAATCCTAATAATATTAATTAATAGATGGAGTAGGCTCACAGGATTAAACATTTAACTCAAATAAAAGAAACGGAAATTAAATAGGTATGTATTAATCGCGTGTATGCAGTACTGAATTTATTATAGAGGAATCAAAGGGTGTTGCTAATGGAATTACTGATGCTTTTACTCTATAAGTAGGAGAGACAAGATTATAAAGTGCTAGCCAAAGCATAGTCTAATAGGACCACGATGATGATGAGTACGAAACTGATGAAGAGATCAAGGATAATGCTAAAGAAGTGATTAAGCTAGTCAATGTGCATAAAACTTATCTTCTCGGTTTAGAGGGAGTTCCAGCACTTAGAGGAGTAAATCTCACTATTAATGATGGAGAGTTCATTACTATTCTTGGAACATCTGGAGGTGGTAAGACTACATTACTAAATATTATTGGTACAATCGATAAGCCTTCTAAGGGTGACGTTTACATTTGCGGACTTAGAATTAAGTACTCTACTAAGGATCAGCTACTTGCATCTATAAGACTAAACAAATTAGGATTCGTATTCCAAACTTTCAACTTGATTGGATCCCTCACCGCTCTTGAAAATGTAGAGCTACCAATGCAGTTGAGAGGTAAATTATCAAGAGAACAGATTAGAAAGAGAGCAATTAGTCTATTGGAGGAGGTAAGTCTTGGATCAAGATTAGATCACTTCCCAAATCAACTGTCAGGAGGAGAGCAATAAAGAGTAACAATTGCTAGAGCTATTGCTAACAATCCATCTATAATATTATTGGACGAGCCAACTGGAGATCTCGATACCAGATCTACCGATATCGTGATGAAGATTCTGGTCGATTTGAACGTTAAGAAGAAGATTACTATGATTATGGTTACTCACGATGTGGGTTTAAAAACCTTCGCTAACAGGGTAGTCCGCATGGCAGATGGTAAAGTTAATAAAATCGAAGAAATAGATCCAGTACTGAGGAATGAACATATAAGACATCTAGATGACAGAGTGAGAGCAATTCACTCAGGTAACTAGAAAGATGTCCTTGCTATTAGAGAGGGTATCAAGGAAGAAAATGACGAAACATCAAAGCTTAGCTCTAAGACAAAAGTTGTTATCCCAGATAATTTCACAGCACTCAAGAATGTTAGCACTACTAAAACATCAGTAAGAAAACCTCAAGACTATCCAGTACTTAGGGAGAGATTCAACAAATGAAATGGGTTACTATGATTATCTGAAATATCTTTAAATTATTTGTTAAAATAACAATCAATATTATTTATTTATTTCATTTCAAGTATATTAATTCAATGGAGGAAGAAGATTAAACAGTAACCCTTCAACTTTCAGAGCTAAAAGGAAAAGATTTGAACATTGATACAGAAGGTTTAAATATAAACTTAAATAGAACTTAGAGATTCATTGAAACAAAATTCGCCTATGAGTACGATATTGATGAAGATCATGAACATTATATTGAGACGCCGCTAGCTACTTTCAATTGATTTATTATTGAAGAAAAGCAACATAAGAAATAAAAATCATCAAATGGAAATACTATTAATATGAGATCATCCATTACATCCAATGGTGAGACCTTGAACCCTAATAAATCTTTTAAATAGATCTGTGGAGAAGCTTCAGACTGCCTTATTAGGTTAAATAGAGATATTGATTTCGATAGGCAATAAGATGAAGAATAGACATTGATTGTTAATAATAGATAGGAATTTGATGAGTTAATCAATCCAGTATTTTATACTGGCTATTTGAAAAATCTGGCTCTTTCTGTAAGTAATTACTCTCAAAAGAACTGCGATAACTACAATTTATTGGCAAGTCCAAAATTAGTCCAGAGCAAGGAAGGATTGATAATGGAATAGCAGAGTATAAATTTGATGAAACTGGATGCTTAGATTATGCCAAGAGCAGATGTCCTTTTAAAGCTCTGCTCAAATGGATTGAAAGGCTAAACTTAAGTCCATAAAGCAATGATTAAAATACAAATCTAACCATCGTAAACATCAAGTTCAGATAATCAGATGGAAGATAAATCATTCTTGAAGAAAATAATCGAGCGTTAAGACAAATCTCACACATAGGTAAAATACAGGAATCCGAAAATGAGGGAGGAGATTACAATGGAGCTTTACTGGGACACTTTGTATGTGAGAATCCTTAAAGAACGATAAGTACTTTCTGCTGTAGTGGTTCAGCCAGAATTTTTATTTCAAAGCTACAATAACTACTACTCACCAGTCATAGGAGGATAGAATATAAATCAAGGCTTCACCTATCAAATGAGCTAGATAGCTGGAAGTAGTGAGCAGATTAAATCATCTAGTACTAATTAGCCCTATAAGGTATTTTAGCCATTAAGATAATCATAAAAAAACTGGCAATCTTAAATGAGTAAAACTTCTGGGAAATAAATCGCATAGTTGGATTAAGATGCTATAAGAGATATGATTATACATTAAAATTCAAATACTTTAGAATAGAAACCTAGTCAAACTCAGCTATTAGTGCCTATTGTTTAAACTAGAGTTTAAAACACAAATGCCTTAGGAATAGGAAGTTAATCAACTATTTCATCGCTTAACTTTATCAATTATAAGAATCGGAAAAGTAGTAATGATCCTCATTAAATGACAGTAGTTCATCCTTAAGGATTCATTTAGAATATTACTGAATAGAACAACTAAAATGGATAAGGGATAAAAAGACATTAGCCTATTAGCTAGAAATTTATTACAGACTAGTTTAAAATTCAGATAATCAACAAGAAAAAGGAGTCTACTTAAAATTAAAATTAGTAAAATTTGGTGTAATGATCGCATTCAGGCTAGAATATAGCTCAACCTTATGTTAAGTTTAGAAAATAGAAATTTTAGGAATAAGGGCAGACAAGCAATAGAAATAAATAAGGTGGAGGAAATATCACCACTTAGCAAGTCAATAAATTCTAACAGCAGAAATAATCCAATAATAGACCATAAACGATGATGGGTGTAGGGGAGGTTTCGCAGTAATATTAGTCTCCTATAAGATAAAGGAATAACTCTTAGTTTGTACAGGAACCACCTCAATTAGAAAAGACCAAGAAGTTTTCAAATGGTTTGTTTAGTGAATTCCATCATGATCTAGATCAATTTGGTGAGTCAGAATTTCCTTTGAATATATCTAATAACAGAGAATAAGAAAAAGAAAATACAAATAAATTTGGACAGTAAAAATGCAACAAAGAATTTAATTCTGGACTGAAAACATAATAGCTAAGTGACAATAAGTTAAATTAGAAAAATTCAGATATGATGATAGACATCAAGCCTTCTAAAGATGTCAACAGCACTGATATCAATATCTCTTTGCTGCCCAAATAAATTTAAAAGTATAATTCAAAGCGCGACAAATAGCGTAACAAAAAACAATTTAAATCTGATTTTCAAGAAAAGAGTAAAACGCTTAATGAGATCTTAGCTGATGATGATGAAAATTATTATTCTAGCAATCAGAAGTAAGATGACGATTTTTTGAGAATATCAAATGATCATGAACTTGTTGATTAAAATCACTTTAGAGACATAGAGATTTCAACACCTCGAGGTACTGAACCTAATTCTATGTGCAGATCAACTACTACTGCTTCGAGAACTATTAACTCAAAGAAATAAAAGCATTTTATCAATGACTCTATTGCTGTGATTAAACATTAAAATTAGAATGGGAACAATACAATCTTGATTTAGCCTTAAAAATTTATATCACCAACCATTCAACATAAAATCATATAAAACAAATAAAATAAAACTACCGAGAGCTAACCTAATTCACAAAAGCAAAGCTTACCAGAGATTCCTTAGTTAAATAATAAATTCATCAGAAAATCTCCTTAAAATGCTAATTTCAGTTTGGTTGATAACAAAGGAATTTCTAAAGCAAATTATATAGGAGCTTAAATTTTCTTAAAAAACAGCAGTTAAAGTCCCAAATATCTGAGAGACCATAATCCTTTGCAAAAAAGTATGAATCTGCCCTTTAGTACTTAGGTACAGTAGCAAAACCAAAATTATAACCCCTATTAAAATATGTAAAATCACACCTAGACTACTATAACTAACCCAGCAACTAAATTCATCAGCAAAACTACTGCATTAAACTTACAGCGACATCAAAGTCCATTAGTTGGGCGTATCATTGAAAATTCAGCCGAAGATATTACGCAATAGCTAATAAATCAAATGAGTAAAGCTAAGAGAGAAAATGGAGCCGTAAGTAGTTTAGGATAGAGACAACTTATATCTAAAATAATCAACAGAGAACGATAAATTGCTTCTAGAAAAGATTAAATTCCGATGTGAAATTTAATAATCAATACATTACTATTTATTTATGATTTAAAAAGACACTTAGAAATAAATTTTATAACTCAAATCTTAGATTTATATTAACTGGCGGGGTTTTGGGGTTTTGGGGTTTTGGGG